GGATTCTTTCTCGGTTTCTGGGGCAGAGTCTTGGAGCAGGGCAAGGTCAGTGAGGGACCAGGAGGGTAAGAGGAGAGCGGAGAACAAGGGAATCAGACATTTCGACTAGGCACGCTGCAGCAGCCACAGCACGCAGGCAGGGGGGTAAGCCTTGGGCAACAGGGCAGAGAAATAAGCCACTGGGCGGTTCTTTTCTCCATGCATCTGAGTGACAACTCCAAGTGCACACCCAGATTGTTCATGGCAGAAAAGGGTAAAAGGCTTAGAATAGTCAGGCAGCCCTAAGGCAAGGGCAGAAGCCAAACCCTGTTTGAGGGAAACAAAGGCAGATTTGGCCTCAGGGGGCCACAGCATGGGGTCAGGTACAGAGAATCGAGTGAGTTCCTGGAGAGGTTTTGCAAGGGAGGCATATTGGGGAATTCATTGTCTGCAAAATCCAGCCATGCCTAAAAACTTCTGGACCTGGCTTGGGGAGCGGGGTCAGGGAAAGCTAAGGATAGCTTGGACGCGAGTGGGAGAAAGTGCACGGGAACCCTGGGAGAGGAGAAAGCCGAGATATGTGACAGAAGCTTGACAGAGTTGTAGTTTAGAGCGAGAAGCTTTGTGACCCTTATTTGCTAGGGCAGTAAGGAGCACTAAAGAGTCAGTTTCAGAGGCAGACAATGAAGCAGAACAGAGGAGTAGATCATCTACATATTGGACTAGTGTGGACCTGGACGGGAAAACAAGGTCAGCAAGGTCTCGGGCTAATGCTTGGGAAAAATATGACGGGCTTTCAGTATACTCCTGGGGCAGTGTGGTCCATGTGTAGTGTTGCCCCTTGTAAGAAAAGGCAAACAGGAACTGGGAGTCAGGGTGAACCGGGACAGAAAAGAAAGCAGAGCACAAATCAACAACAGTAAAATGAGTTGCATCTGGTGGGATAGAAGCCAGAATCTTTGAGAGGGGCAAGTTTTGATTCTGTCCACCTATGATTTGCCTCTTCCCACCACTGCATGAAACAATCAACCTCTCCTTTTGCCAATTTAGTTTTAGGTTGGCCGAGTTTGTCTTTTAAGACGTCTACTTGGTCTTTGTCCCACGATCCTAACAGGTTTCAGAGTAACAGCCGTGTTAGTCTGTATTCGCAAAAAGAAAAGGAGTACTTGTGGCACCTTAGAGACTAACCAATTTATTTGAGCAGTGGCCACTGAATTTTGGGATTCTCCTGAGTTAGCCTAGACCATTTTTCCAGAAATTTACAGGAGTCCGGACTCTTCCTAAAATACATAAAACAAGCCGGCGTTCCTTTAGGGAACTGTCCTGACTTAGACGTCTGGTTACCCATGCAGGAGGACTTTAAACACCAATCACACAAGAAGGAAAGTCGGGTTCGTCAGAGCGATGCCCGGTGTAACACACAGAAGGAGCCCACAGGCTACTGCCTCAATTGCGCTTGCTTTCACACCAAGGGTTTTACCCAAGGCGCGGTGCAGCTGCGATTGTGCAGATTTCACTCATGCAGACCGTGGGGACACGAACCCTTTGGTCAGCCGATTCCCTGATGGAGACGGCGCCCAGACTCAAACACACCACAGGGAGGATGGATAGACACAGAAAAAGACAGTCCTTAGTTGGACACCTGACCAGATTCCTGATGTCAGATCCCGGGATCCCTACCAGAACAGAGAGGGAACCAACAGATTCGATGGCGTAGACTTCACTGTGGTCATGCACCCTTCTGTTCCGGCGGAGGACTGCTCGGGCCAAATGCCCAGGTGCTGGCTTGCCACGGTCGTCCTAAGAACAGTTAGGAGTCACACGGCCCCAGTGAAGACGGTTGCCATCTCGGTGGAACCTCCAAATTGTCAAAGTCAGATTCAGGACTCACATAATTTGTCAGACCACTCTGTTTATGAGCAAAGCGCTTTGACAATGCACCCAGATATGTGAGCCCCTCTCTGAGGCTCATGCTAACTTATTTATACAATTAAGCCAAAGCCAATTTAACATAAGAGACAAAAGGAAGCAGAAATTGACAAATATACATACATATCTTATTTGCATAGTAACGTTTACCAATCTCCTAGCTCAGTAGGAGCTCTAAGTTAATTAGTTTGAGGATCCATTGTCTCACACTCCTTAATGTTTCTCTTCCTGACAACTATATTTCAACAAACCCTTCAAGTAGCATTTCTTTAATGAATTATAATTTCAATATAATTCATTCTACTTTCACAAGGTATAACTCCATCTGCACGGGGTGTGTGTGTGTGTGGAGGCGGTTAATCACACTGGTTTAAAAAGGCACTGTTAGTTAAACAGGTGCGAATGCATATGCAGCAAAGGCCCAGCATTTACAGTTGTGGTTATTAACGTGTTAATTCACAGTTAATGTGCTTGAGTTAAAACAGGCCCCAACACTCTTCTGGACAAACCAAATGGGGAGTCCCTTCCTGTCTCCCCATCCAGGGGACTCCAGGTGCAGACTCTGTCCCACTGACTGGCTGTCACACAGGGGAAAGTGCTACTCGGTTTCTGAAGACAATATGGAGAGGACTGGGACCATGTGGTGGCTTGGCAAAGAAGGCTAAAGCCTTAGGGATCCAAGACTTGGATGAAATGGTGATGTGAAATGTGGGAGGTGGGAACTTCAGCTGCAGAGAGATCTGGTCTTTCCTGGAAGGCAGAGTAGAGGAGTAGCAGGAGCTGGGGAACTTCAAAAACCTTCCCTGATTGCAGGAAGCCCCCATTCTTACTGGGGAGCAGGGACACAGCCACCAGGCAGCTTCAGAGCAGTTATTTGTCTGCCCAGGTCCTCTCCACTTCCCATGCAATAATCCTGCAGCCTTCAGCTATGAATCCAATGCATGCAGGGATTCAGCCACCTGCATGCCTAGGGCGTAGCAATGGCAGCGATGGCCTCTTTGCCCAAGAACACTATCACATAAGAATGTGGAGACATGAAGACAGGAGTCAGTGGTGTGGGAAGGGTGATGGCCCCAGGGGCATAGAGGGATATGGTGAGAGAAGCAGAGACATCAAACACATGGTGGAGATTGTAAAAAAAACATGTTCCATGGGAGTTAGAAGGGTCTAATGATCATGGTACTGGACTAAGAATCAGGAGACCTGGGTTCTCTTTCTGCCCTGCTGGGTAAATCAGAAAATCCTTAGTGCACAGGCTGTAGATTAAAATAGGTTTGACTTCTTCAGGGGCAAGAAACTGTCCAGAGCTGTGGCATTTGAGGCCCTTTCAATTATCATGTGCTGGTTCCATCAGGCAGTTTGTGTCTCCCCTGCTTGGTTTGTGTCCCTCTGGTTTCATTGGAAAGACAGCAGAGAATCCATGTAGTTACTTAAGGTTCTGGTCACCTTGGTGCCTCTGTCATATGCTCTGCAGGAGTTCATACAGGATCTCATTTTTGTTTCTGCATGTTAGAAATCATTTTTTATTAAGCACCAGCTTAACATCATTTGCGGACAGTACTCAAATGGCTCGCTATTCCATTTCCCCCCCACAGATTGACAGCTTTTCCTCATAAGCACTTATTCTTCCTTGGTATAAAATGTATACGAAACAAAGACAAAATATTTTATACATCTTACTGCAAAATGCTTAACATTGTGGCTGTATCTCATTGCCTCTTCATTGCCCAGTTCCCGACAGACTCTTATTCATGAACTGTCTCTTCATGCAAGGCAAATATCCTGCTTGGATTGGACTTGACTTTAAAACCCCTGCAATGAAGTGGACCTGAGTGGATGGCTCCCCGTTAAATCAAACACGTTGCATCTTTCCCCATGGTAAATACATCTGAAGTGTTTTTAAACATTAGCTAATGTAATTGTTTATCATTATCTGTATTTATTATTGCTGCACAATAAAGCCTCCAATCAGCTATAACAAGTGCCCACGTGAACTAATGGATGACCTAGTGCAGCAATGACTTCTATTGCCCCTTGTGCTGGCACAGGGAGCGTATTTATGCAAGTTTTCAGTTGCAGAAGTTTGGCCTGTGTTTATTTACTTCTGAAAAACACCAAAAGTTAGATTCTGACTGTGTGGAGACATCAACTATTACAGAAACCACATTATAACATTTACTTTGCTTACTATAGATGGGATTATATTAAAAATGTCATAGGAAAGATCCAAATGAGAACTCTAGCCTGTGTTCTTGCACATAGGTTGTTAAAACCTGGGAATTGCTGAGAGCAGATTTAATAGGGCTCTGTCCAGTATCACAGAAGCGATACCAGTAGGTACTGGCAGCTACGGATGATTTTTCAAAATAGTTAGAAGAATTTCCACTTAGAACTATGACAGCACATGAGATGGAGAAGAAGACATGTAAAATTATATATCAACACGGCTGCCTAGAGCAGATACTGGCAGATCTAGGTTCTGAATTGAATAATCAGGTAACAGTTTACATTTGGTGTTATTTTCATTACATGGTCAATTACACACTCATGGTGGTGTGACAGGGTGCTGTTAGCAGCTACAAACTGAGCCCTTTGGAAGCCAGCATCCTGGTCACTGAGAGCACCCAGAGCACCGGGTGCAGTTAGAGGAGGAGGGACTGAGTAGTTTGGGTTTGGAAGGGTAGAGGGGATCACTTGCACCTGTAGGGAGCCCAATGAGGTCACTAGCTCAGCGCTGAGAAGAAAGCAGCAGTATAAAAGTCTGAATCAGGGAGCAGGAAGGGGGCTCCTTGTAACTGCTGCCATGTTGTGATGCACCATAGTGTCTCCCATCACACTCTGCTCCGATAGCTCTTCAAGATATTAGGTTCAATCGCTAATTTCAAGGAATTAGATTAATCGGTCACTATTTTTACAGAAAGAAAAGGAGTACTGGTGGCACCTTAGAGACTAACCAATTTATTTGAGCATGAGCTTTCATGAGCTACAGCTCACGAAAGCTTATGCTCAAATAAATTGGTTAGTCGCTAAGGTGCCACAAGTACTCCTTTTCTTTTTGCGAATACAGACTAACATGGCTGCTACTCTGAAACCTATTTGTACAGAGCATTCCAGAAGGTGGTGGACAGAACCCAGAAGAATTGTGATGAATTTCCTGGAGCAACTTTCTTTTCTTTGTACTCTAAACCTCACATGACAACAAAAATAGCACCCTTACATCTGATTCATGGCTGAGAAGAAAGATTTCCCAATAAAGCTTCACCAAATTTTATGTTATGTGTCATTAAATGCCAGGCTTTTTAATATAATTAAGTTAATTTGTGATGATTCAGTAAAGGAATACAACCCCTTCTCTATTTCTTTATCAAACTACATTTGTTGTGTCCTTAGAACCAAGAACATGAAGAGCCCAGCAGTACATTGAAAGCAACAGTGGACACTGACAATACATTGCCTGTAAATAACATTTCTAAAGAAAAATAAACTAAAAAACGGAGATTGTAGAAGAGATTTCTATCTGTAGGGAGATAGCATGTTTTATTTATTGATGTGAGAGAAAGAAAGAAAGGGTCATATCTTGATTACCGATGACATGTAGCTAGAAAGTTAAAAATCACATGAATTAATGCTGACAGAAGTTCAAAGAATATTACATAACCTTGTGTAAGTTAACTTAAATATATTGCTTAATTAATTCTATCGTTTTTTCACCTATTAATTTTCAAAGGTGTAGTGCAGGAGGTGGGTGTATGTGCCCTGCCCCCCAGAGAGAACCAGTCAAGACAATAAAGAGGGAGGAGAAAGAGAGAGAGAGAGAGAGAACAGCTGCACATGTGTGTAGTTGTGATGTTTATGACACACGTACTTTGTAACTGAACAACCCTGTCTGACAATTTAATAGTTTATTTTGTTTAGATAAATATTTTGGATTTCTTGAAATTCCACAGTTGAAATACAAATGACGTTATTCAGAGAAGTTAAACTTCAACATAGATTTGATGGAAGAATAAAAAAAATGTAAATAATTCCATTGCTAAAAACATGTTTAGATGCTTGATTTTGAAGTACTGTTGAAATGTAAATTAAAATATTCTTGTATTTACACCTTGTTACAATAATATTTTCTAAATTAGAATAATCTTTTTTCTTTCATATTTTATCTTGAGAGTTCACAGGGGTAGAAAATTCTGACAGGAGTGAATGACTATATATGGGATGCTGGACACTGGGCAACCCCTAGCCCTCACCTTTCCCCATCCACTGTTGGATCATATTAAAGAAGTTCTGTATTAAAATCACAAATGAGTTTGATTCCCCATAGTGTAAATTCCAGGGTATTACTAATTAAGAGGTCTCTTGGTTTTTGGTACTGTTTCTCTCCCTCTATGTGTGAAACTTGCAAGCTGCTAATTGTGTTAGTACATTCTAAGACAGAGTCTGTTCTCAAAGCAATTCACAGAGAGAGAGACTCAAAGCAATACTCTGTAACAACAGAAACAGCACCCAGAGACTCCCCACCCTTTTGTTGTATTTACAATTGTGATTAAAATAGAGATAGAGGATGTATGTGGATGGATGCTTGGTGTGGATAATAACTGAATGATCAGGGAGGTGCCAGCCTAAGAATCCAGTGTCCATCGGCTGAAGAAGGCGTCAAGTGGAAATAACCAGAGGACCCCCGGCCCCCCGGAGGGCAGACTGGAATCCACCCAACAGCCTCAAGAATGGGAGAACCAAAGAACAAGATAACATCTTGGAGCACGGAGCCGTCAGGAATGTGCTATCTGCTGATTGATTCAGTAACAGCATGATGAAGCAATTCCCACAGACTGGCATAGGAAGAAATTCCTATAAAAATAGACTCTAAAAAGTGAGAACTTTGGGGTCTGATTCTGCAAAGCAACTTCCAGGAGCATCAGATGAGCATCTGACAAGGCCCTGCTCCCTCCTCATGTCCAGGCCACCTGGCCAGTGGCTTGGCATGAGCAACTCTAAGGCTGGTAACTATGATAACAACCTTGCAGAACCTGTGTGTGTGGGTGTTTGTATGAATGAATGTGTGAATAAATATGAGATTGAATGGAATGTTATAGAGATAACTAACTGCTTACTATGATTCTTTCTGTATTCACAATAAATGTGGTATTTTGCCTTTTTCCCTTTAATAAGATCCTGCTGGTTTTTATTTTATTGGTATAACACCACCACCATCTGCTACCTCTGGGGCAGGGGACGAGAGAAGGTGAGGGCTGGGGGTTGCCAAGTGTCCGGTTTTCGACTGGAACCTCGAACTGAAAAGGGAAACTGGCAGCATCCGGTCAGCACAAAATGTCCAGTTGCCGGCAGTATCTGGCTTGCACAACTGGGGGCAGGAAGAGCAGCAGTGCTGGGAGGGGACAGTCTGTGCCACGGGTGTCACTGTCAGGGACCGAGATTCCCTCCAGCTTGAGCTGGCACTGGGCTGATGATCAGGGGAGCCACATTTTCACCCCCGGAGTTGGGACCAGGACAGAAATAAGGGCGGAGTGTCCCGGAGTAGGTGCCAGTGAAAGTGATGAGATGGGACCTGTCAGTCACATTGTAAAATGAGACCTCGCCCGCCTCATAGTCCAGGAAAATCCCCACCCGGCCGGGCCTGACCCTCACAGGGAGGGGGGTCGGGGGGTCGGTGCTGGCCTTGTATTCCCCATACCACAGCCACATGGCCCAGTATCCATCCTCAGGTGTGTGTGTGACCCACCCCTCCCTGTTCACAGATTCCCTACAAACTCCCAGAGCCCACTCAGGCTTGTCTCCCACCTCCACCTCCCAGTAACGCCTCCCGCCCGCGAACCCCTCAGCGCCCAGGACACAGACACAAGGATCAAATCTCTCAGGATTGTTGGGCAGATCCTGGCGTGTGTGTCCGTCGCTCACACATTTCCGATCCTCAGACAGGACGAGCCAGGGATTTGCCGTGTCTGGATCCAGAGTCACGTCCACTGGGGAGAGAATCACAGAGTCAGGGCCGGGGGCAGGGGCTGGTCACTCGGATCAAAGGGAAATTAACCTGTGTGTGTGCACGTGTGGGGGGGTGTTGTTGACTGAGGGGAGTCAGGGACAGTGAGTGGGGCGGGGGGAGCAGGGGAGAGGGTGGGAAAGTGTCAGTGGGGGTGGGGGGAGGGATGGGCAGGTTCTGATGCTGGGAGAGGAAAGAGGAGGGGCAAGTCACAGGAGTAGACGGGGAAGGGCAGAGGGGAGGGGCAAGCACAAGGGCAATGAGGGGGGGAAAGGGGAGCGGGCACCATGAGGTCAGAGGGGGGTGAAGGGAGGGGCAGGTTCCCGGGGCAGAGGGGAGGGGTGGGCACCAGGGCAGAAGAAGGGGATGGACCCCAGGGGGCACAGGGAAGCAAGGGAAGGGGTGGGCACCAGGGGACAGAGGGATGTGAGGGAATGGGGGGCTCTAATAAGGCAGGGGGGAATCAGGGGAGGGACTGGTGCCAGGGGGTGGGGGGGATGAGGGGTGGAGCAGGTGCCAGGACCATGGTGGGGAGGGAATGGGCAGGCACCAGGGGGACAGAGCGATGCAGGAGCCTGGGGGCAGAGGGTCTGGCTAGGGCAGGGGCAGTGTCACCAGTAGGCGGAGGAGGGCAAGAGGAGGGGCAGGTACTATGGGGCTGCGGGTGGTGGTGCTGAGGAGAGGAGCATGTGCCAGGGAGCAGAGTGGGGTGATAGGAGGGGCAGGTATGGGGGGGGCTAAGGGGAGGGGCATGCATCAGGGCGTAGAGTATGCATGAGAGGCAGGACTGTTGTCAAGGGAAAGAGAGAGATGAGGGGAGGGGTGGGCACCAGGGGTTCAAAGTCTGGACTAGAGAAGGGGCGGGCAGCACTAGGGGATGTGGGGGGGAAGGGAAGGGGCTTGCACCAGGGGACACAAGGGGTGAACAGAGGGTCAGGCGCTAGGGAGGCAGAGGGGCAGTAGAAGGAGGGGCTGGCACTAGGGGAAAAGGAGGGGGTGGGAGAAGGCGCAGGTGACAAGGGGACAAAGAGGGGGGAGGGGTAGGACAGGTTTCAGAGGGACATGGGGGGGAAAGGGATAGGGCAGACCCAGGGGGCAATAGTGGTATGAGGGAAAGGGCAGTTATCAGGGGGAGAGGGGCATGAGGGGTGGGTGAAAGGAAGACAGAGGTGGGACAAGGGAAGGGGTAGTCACCAGGAGAGATGGGGGGGGGGGATGAGCAGAGGGGTAGATGCAAAGGGGGGGGAGAGGAGAGGGGCGGGCACCGGGGGGCAGAAAGTGGGTTGTGGGGCCTAGGGGGCAGAGGGGTGGGACCCAGAGGTTAGGAGAGGGGGAGGGGAGGGGCAGACACCAGGGAGCCCAAAGGCAGGCAAGGGAAGGGGTTTGCACCAGCCAGGCAGAGGGGGCAAAGGAAGGGGCAGGCACCATGGAGGCAGATGGGGGCAATGGTAGAGATGGGCCTCAGGGGGGCAGAGGAGGAGTGAACAGAGGGGCTGGCACCAGGGGACTAGAGGAGGGGTGAGGGGCGCAGGTTTCAGGGAGGCAGAGGGCGAGGGGAGGGGAGGGGGAAGAAGTAAGGAGAAGGTGGCAGGGAGGAGGTGTGATGAAGTGGGACTGTTCTTAATGTTTCCTCTGAAGAGTGTGGGGGTGCCTCAGTTTCCCCTCTGCAGTTCTTAAGTATCTAGGTGGATAAGGGTGTATGATCAGTGCAGAGCCCTAGAGGGCAGGTGTGTGCAGGGATCTGGACACAGAGAATGGCCAACACCCTGTTTCCTGGCACCTGGTGGCCTGGCCCTTCCCCCCTGCAAGGTGAGACCTAAAGGGTTGGAGAACAAAGGAATCTGGTGATCTCCTGGCTCGGGAAAGGGACAAAGCCCAGAGGAGGAGGGGCTGGAGGGAGTTTCAGTTTGGGGCTGGCTGGGACATGGAGTGAAGGGCAGATGTGGTTGTCTGGCTCACTGCCCCCCAAAATGGACCCGGCTGAGGGGTCCTGTTCTCTGCACCTACAAGCTCTGTGTTAGACCATGTTCCTGTCATCTAACAAACCTTCTGTTGTACTGGCTGGCTGAGAGTCGCGTCTGACTGCAGAGTTGGGGGGCAGGACCCTCTGGCTTCCCCAGGACCCCGCCTGGGCGGACTCGCTGTGGGAAGTGCAGGGAGGGGCAGAGGATGCAGACCCAGGAAGGTGGAAGCCGTGTGAGCTGTTTGCCCTGGGGACAGGCTGCTCCCAGAGAAGAGACCTCACCAGAGTCCTGACTGACTTCGTGGGGAGCAGTTCCAGAGCATCACCCGGGGACTTGGTGACAGGAGGGGTTGCAAGGGAAGGGGCAGGTGCCAGGGGGTGGGGGTGAGGGAAGGGGCTTGTGCTGAGGGGAGAGGTGGGGGCCAGGTGGGAGAAGGAAGGGGCGGGAACTGGGGGCAGAGTGGGGGAGAGACAAATGGCTGTGCGACAGTAGTCGGGCGTGGAATGGGGAAGGCACTGGGGCGAAGGTGGGAGGGTGGTGAGGGAAGGTTTGGTCATCAGGGGTGGGTGTCAGGGGCTAGAGGGGTGAGGGGAGGAATGAAAGCTGGGGGACACAGGAGGGAGAGCAGATGGGCAGGCAGCAATAGGATGGGGGAGGGGCAGGCTCCAGGGGACAGAAGGGGGTAAAGGAAGGGGGCAGACAAAAGGAGGGTAGGGGGTGGGGAGGAGTGTGTGCAGGGGGTGGTGAAATGAGGCATTGTCACTAGAAAAGCAGGGGGTGGAGCAAGTCATGGGTGATGGGGGCAGAGGGATGTGAGGAGAGTGGAGTCAGTGGGGCAGAGGGTGGTGAGGGGATAGGCACCAGGGAGGAAGGGTGAAGGGGAGGGTCAAGTGCCAGGAGGATTGAGCGGGTTGGGCAGAAGGGCAGACACAGGGAGGGCAGAGGAGGGGAGGGACGAGCACCAGGGGCAGAGAGGGGCAAGCAGAGAAGCAGGGCAGGTGAGTAGAGGGAAGCGTTAGGAGAGGGGATCGAGGAGGGGCAGGAGCCAGAAGGTCAGAGTGGGGCTAGAGGAGGGGTGGGCACACGGGGACGAGGGAAGGGGCAGGTGCCAGGGGTTAGAGATGGTGGGGAGAGGGAAGGGTACCAGGCGGGGCTGAGGGGGTGAGAAGGGCGGCGCATCTGCACTAGGGATTTGCATTGGGGCACCAACATGGCTGAGACACTGCTGTGCCAGGGGCCAGAACCCCTCCCCTCACTGGGGTTATGGAGCAATAATTACAGGGTCACGGGAGCAGGGGAGCTGGACTCTGGGCTCCCAGGTAAGGCCCAACCCACTGGGCTGCAGAGTGATTCTCGCTCCCACGCTTTGGCCCAGTGCCCATGGCAGTGTTTAGACACAGGGGGACGTCTTCAGCAGGAGAGATTGTGGGAGCCCCACATCAGACACCCAGAGCCCAGCAGTTCCAGCCCTAACCTGGATTCCCACATTCCAATTCCTGCCCCACATCCCACGGGGGGATGGAACCGGGGGCTCCCCGCTGAGGGCCCAGTCATGGGGTTAAAGGCTGGAAGGGAAGTGGCGGCACCTTTTCCTGTTCATTGAAACTCGTCAGCAAACTCGACATGGATTCGTGAATAGTTTCAGTCGACCCAAAATATAATTTTTCAGCAAATAAACTATTTGCCCTCAAAATTACACCCAGCTCTATTTCAAACGTGTCCCAGAAACTTAGGAGCCCAAATCCCAGTGACTTGCAGTGAGTGACTGTCAACATCCCCAGAAACGCACAGGTACGGCCAGGCCAGGCTCAGGACACCAGCTATGAAACACTCCAGAGCTGCTGTTAAATTTGCCCTTGGTAGAAACATTTCCCCACGGGCTCCCATAGCTCTTTACTGAAGGCTGCGGGGAAAAAGATATGGCCAGTAGTAATTAGTGACACTAACAAGGAGCTAGTCTGAATGAAAGAGACCTTAGAAGAGACTAGCTGCAGAGTTATGTGAATTCAGGGGACATCTTTACCTGGTAGTCGTGGACTATTTTTCCAGGTATGTAGAAAGAGTGTACTTGAAAGACATAACAGACCAGAGTGTTATAGAGCAACTGAAGTGGACTTTTGGTCATTTCATGGTTCCAGAAGAACTTGTGACAGAGCATGGACCATAATTCACTGACGTAGAATTTAATTTATCCAAACAAAATATGATCTTCCTCATATTACTAGAAGCCCATATTACTCACAAGCGAATGGAGAGACTGAGAGCTGTACAGACAGCCAAGAATATCCTTCAACAGGAAGATCCATTCTTTGCTCTACTGAGTTATAGATCAACCCCAATAGCAGCTCCTGATGGGAAGACAACTCCTAGCTACCCTCCCAATTTTGGAAAACAATCCATCTCCAAAGTAGCCAGACACATATATAGTAGTCAAATCCAATAAAAAGGCAAAATGAGCTTACAATCACTTTTACAACAGACATCACTTAGAAAAATACGAGGCCTAGAACCTGGTGACCATGTGTGTGTCAAACTGGATGGAGAAAAAGAATGGAATATTCCAGCTGTTATAAAGAAAAAGAATTCAACACACTGATTGTATGTGATCGAGACCAAGAGAGGAGAGTTCATCAGAAACTTTCAACATCTACAGTTTGTTCCTCAGAAAGAACAATCAACCGAGCAAACTCTACAGATGGTGGATGCAGAACAAGAAGATGACTCAAGGATTCCAGACCAAACATGGTCAGTCATTGGAACTAATGGACAGACAGATGATCAAGTTGTTACCTGTTCGGATCGTGTAATTAGAAGACCAGTACCATTCAGAGACACCTAACAGACTGATCTGCACTGAACTTCAAAGACCGTGCGATAATGTAAATATTATAAATGGTCGGAATGTAGAACTTAAAGGGGGAGATGTAATGGAACGCTAAACTGTATTCTGCTGTTCAACCACTAGGTAGCGCTGGGTGTAAAATACCATATTTATGCAGACCTCAGCCATAGTTGGCAGAACATTAAAGGATTTTGTGATGAACACATCTGGTGTCTATCTGGCTGAGAGGGAACCCAGACCAACCTGGAAGTAGTTAAATCCCAGGTGGCTAGTTGGCAGCTAAAGAGCTAATGAGCCTGATAAAGGGTGACCAGGGCTCAGCTGAAGGGATCGTAAAGACAGGAAGCTGCTGAGGAGAGGAGCTTTCCGGAGAGCTCACCAGAGCAAGAAGCCTGGAAGGGGTGCTCCTAGAGCAGTGGACTGTGGGTCGTGCTCCCCTTGAGGGTGTGGAGGAACATTTCGGGGGCATGGCAAGGCCAGGACCAGCCTCCATGTGTGGCGGGAAGGGAACGCCACCCAGCTCTACTCTGCCCCCAGCTCCACTCCAGCCCCACCCTAAGGCCCAGCTGCAGCTCCAGCCCCGGCCTCAGCCATCGACTCCTGGCCCTGCTCCGGCCTGTGACCCCAGCTGCAGCTCCAGCCCCAACTGTGGTTCCGCCCCTGGCTGAAGCCCCTGGCCCCAACTGCAGGTCAACTCCCAGCCACGGCCCCCGGCCTCAATTGCAGCCCCCTTCCTGGCTCAACTCCCGACCGCAGCTCCCGGGGTGGGGGCGCAAACTAGCTAAGGGAGGGCATGACCAGAAATGTTTGGGGACCACTGCCCTAGACAGAGGAGCTCCCCTAAGGGGGAGGCGCTGCCAGAGCTGACAATGACAGCAGCAGCTGTAGCAGGACAGAGCCCTGGAGAGCTGCCCCCGGCTGGAGAAAGTGGATGCAGAGAATAAAGGCACAGTCTGAAATGACCCCAGCTCCGGGAAGGAGGGCTGGAGTCATGTGATTCCAGGATGGAAACTAATCGAAGCCCAGCTCTGGGAAGGAGGACTGACTCCTGACTTGAGGACAGGGAGGAGCTTGAGTGAGAACTGGAGGCTGGAGCAGAGTGAAGGAAAAGATTTTATTTTGGGGTTTACTTGGACTCAGAGTGGACCCCTGGAGAGGACTTTTCTCTCAGATCTTTTGGACTGTGAGGCGTAATTTAAGGAGTGCTGAACAGGGTAAACTGAGGCAAGATGCTTGCCAAGACACCCTGAAACAGTTGAGGGTGGCACCTGAGGGCGCCACCCCATGATGAGTTTACAAAACTGCAACCCATTTAACAGACCTGCTGCCCCTTCCCCATGCAGACAGAGCCTTGCTCTCTTCAGTCTGTCTGGGTGGGCCCCTCACCGCAGCATCTGACCCCAACAGAGCCTGCATCACAGAGTGGGAACCTGGAGCGAACACAGGACATGGTTTTGGGCCACCCACCTGGCTTCCAGTGTCCCTGTCCCAGTTCCCAGGCTGCTCCCGCTCCCCCACAGCCTTCAGCTCCCCCCGTCCTCAGGCTGCCTCTGCCCTGTCGTGTTCCCTGGGGAGGTGACCCAGGGCCCAGCATGGAGCCATCAGGGTCCTACAATACTGTCTGCCACACCCAGAAGACAGGCACAGGATGGGCTCAGGAGTGGCTGTCCCCACAACGGGACCCTTGTACCCCCTCCCCCAGTGTTTGCTGCTGCCCTTGCTGGGCCTTGTCTGCACTCAGACCAGGAGCCCTGTGGGGCTGGCAGCCCCTTGTTCTGTCTCTGCAGTGCCTGGCTCACTCGTGAGCACTAAACGAATGAAAACACTCACTGCCCAGCCCCGAAGGGCTGCATGACAGCGCAGGCCTTCCCCATTGCACACGGGGACCCTGGGGCGCAGGGAGCCCTGGTTACTCTGCCCCACACATTCACCCAGCGACTCCCCCGAGCTGGGAAAAGGGAACTTTTTTTCCCTTTGTTCCAGGAGTAGTGGGAGCTGGTGGGAGAAGGGAACAAACTCCCTGCTGCTGAGCGTCATCCAACCGCCTCCTCCTCCTCCCTTCCTCAGAACCTGCTCTCACCTGGCTTCCCAGCACCAGCTGCCCCCCCCACCCCACTCCTGGGCAGGTTTAATTCACACTGACTCACCCAGGCGCTGGGTACTAGCACGGTGCATATGTGCAAGGTCCATGTCCTATGGCAGCACATGAGACTCGAGTTCTGTGACAGTCCCCTGGCATTACGGGGCTCTGCTCCCCGAGCCCTCCCCTGTCACTGCCCCTCCACCCAGTCTAGTGTCCTGACCGTTATCGGAGTAGTGAATGGATGCTCTTGTGGTTAAAGTGCTGATCTAGGAACCAGCAGATCTAGGCACAGTGTTGCCACAGCAAAGGGTAGTCAGGGCTTGTGGTCCCCGGGAGCGGACCTGAGGAGATGCTTCTCCTCTTTCCCTTGGGAGTAACTTTAAGGGCCTGTCTACATGGCGAAAAGCCCTGAGTAGCTAGTGCAGAACAGCTAGTCAGCACTGGCTGCTTGTGTGGACACCCTTATTCCATTCAAAGAGAGCCCTTGTCTTGTTTGTGTTAATCCACACTGGAAGACTACGAGTGCAGAATATTCCACACTAGCTACTCTGGGCTCTTCCCCATGAATTCCACACGCTGACAAGCCCTAAGTGTGGGATGAGGAGGTTTAAATTCCTTGTTCTCACCCCAGTGACCCTTCTAGAGCCACCAGCTGCCCCCCTGCCCTTCATCCACTCTGCTATTGCACCCAGCAGGGCTGGATAAGCTCATCAACTAGATGTTTCTGCCAAAAATGGTCAGCAGTGAAATAAACAATCCATTGACCGGAGGCTATATCATAGCAACAGAGAGCAGTAAAACAATTGTCTGTTTGCACCAGCTCCCCCCACCACTGCAGGTACCTTCGTGGGGGTGTGAATAACCAAACCCTCAGACTTTCACACCGACAATGACATTTTGCCCTACCCCTTAGTTATTGTGAGAGCTGTAAGAGGACTGAGCAGGGACCGGATATCCCAGCGGAATGGGACTGAGAGTGACTGAAGCAGTATCAGCCTTAGTTACCTGCGTATCTTCGGGCTCTGGTGAGTCCTGAAATAATAATCAGACATGAGAATTTACAGAATCGAAATACAGACTCGACAAGTCACATACTGTGAAAAACAAACTCCACAAACCAGAAATGGAGCTTACCCAGTTCTGCCAGAGGGTCCATGGGAATGAGAGGGGAGAAAAGGGAAAAAAGAACATAAATGAATCAATAGAAGAGATTCTCAATTACATAAGTGCCCAGTTCTAAACCCAAATTACCAGGGCCAGATCTAGGTTTTTTGCCGCCCCAAGAGGAATGCTGCCAAAGCAAAAAAAAAGGGGGCCGGCATACCACCCCTCGAAAAGTGCCGCCCCAAGCATGTGCTTGGTTTGCTGGTGCCTAGAGCCGGCCCTGAAAATTATATTGGCTTCAGTGGGAATTTTGCCTGAGTAAGGACACCAGGATTAGGCTCCTTATCAGTAGTTAGGGCTTCTGCTTTATCGCACCTGATCCTGCAAACCCTCTCCCCAGAAATCAATGGGACTGCACCTGTGAGGATCACTCATGTGAGTCAGGGTGGCAGAATGGGGCCCATAGTGATAAAGGGTTAGGTTGTCTCCCTTGGTCCAGTCACTGTGTGCAGGGATGGCACAGACTGGCAGGAACCAGGCCCTGGACATCAGAGAATTCCCCTGGCGTAGGGAGAGCTCAGATGGGATAAAGCAGCGTAGCTTTATGCCAGCTACCCCCGCCCCCTTCCTGGTGTAGGAGGCTTGTCAGGGACCACAGCCAGGTGGAGCAAATTAGAGCAGCCCCTGGGGCAGCCTGCGAATCAGGGAGCCATAACCAGCTCCCTCACTGCCCCCTCTTGAAGCAGATCCTGGCACAGCAGAAAATCTGGGTCTCCAGCTCAAAGAACTCTTCCTTTATAAGTGTTTCCATCATGTGGATGATGCAGGTGTGACCCCAAGAGGTGCTGAGCGCCTGCAACTCCTGCAACCCATGTGCCTGGTCCTACAGCTGTTGTGTGTAGAAGTCAACAGGGCTCAGGGGGCCCAATCCTGCTCCAAGCAAACCAATGGGCGCGGGAGCATGTGCGTGGAGAACTCACACGGCTGGGCCCTTTTGGTATAAAATAATTATTGTTCTTGTTACAGGGTGTCTGTGGTGTCAGGGAGTGAAGTTTGTTTGTTTGTGTTTAAGAGTATTTCCAAGGGTTGATGTTGCGAAAAATAAAACTGTTAATATTCATATTTTAATACCACAAATTTTCCATCCATTATTTCTGGATAATGTCTGGATTCCCCCTTGTCGTGTACGTTACCTGTACCAGTAACACATTAGTTTTTTACGTGAACATTTCTTTGCTCACATAGTTCTGACTATTCCATTTCCAATTTAAAGCATAATCAAAACTAGTAAAAACACACTTACCTTTCACTGCCTCGTATTCCGCTGGAAAGTAAAAGACAACGTGAGTTAATGTTGAGTCTCCAAACTTAATGTACAATAGTCAAGCTAACAGCAACGTCTTCCTCACTGGTGATACAAATGTTTTGCAAGATTTGTCCATAAGATGCTAAGCAGAGCACAGCACAGGAGCTGGCTTCTTATGGAGGCAGGGACCAACCTCTCTAGGGTTGCCAACTTTCTAATTGCACGAAACCGAACATCCTTTTCCCGAGACCCCACCCCTTCCCCGAGGCCCCGCCCCCCACTTGCTCCATCCCCCCCTCTTTTCCCTCACTCGTTGTCCTCCACCCTCACTCACTTTCACCGGGCTGGGGCAGGGGCTTGGGGTGCGGAAGGGGGATTATGGCTCTGACTGGGTCCAGGGATTAGGGATTTGGGGTGCAGGAGGGGCTCCGGACTTCAGCAGGAGTTTGGAGTGTGGGAAGGGTTGCGGGGTCCTGGCGGCGCTTACCACGGCTCTCAGAAGTGGTCACCAGGTCCCTGAGGCACTTAGGTGCATGGGTGGCCAGGGAGGCTTTGTGTGCTGTCCTCGCGGCTGCAGGCACTGCTCCTGCAGCTCCCAATGGTCACAATTCCCGGCCAATGGGAGCTGTACAGCCAGCACCCAGGGCGTGGGGCAGTGCACGGAGCTTCCCTGGCTGCCCATGCGCATATGGGCCTCAGGGACCTGGCGGCCGACCCTGGACCCTGCCTTAGCAGGTCCCCACTGCGCTGCTGACCAGACTTTTAATGGCCCAGTCGACGGTGCTGACCAGAGCTGCCAGGGTCCCTTTTCAACCAGGTGATCTGGTTGAAAACCAACGCCTGGCAACCCTAAACCTGTCCTGCCCCAGCTGTTACATGTACTTGTTATACACCTCAGATACTGCACAGATCAACATGGACCAGAGAGCAGGGCTTCCTGGCTCCACGTCACTACCACCTGTCTCTCCCACACTGATCCCTGCAACCCCCCACCCACCAGCCCCTCTTCATCTCCCATCACCTGCATGGACACACACACCTGTAAGCCCCATCCCCTGCCATAACTCCATAGCCCAGGGCCAGTCTCCTGCCCCACTGCACATTATTTGTATTCCAGTAGCAGTTAGAGGTCGCACTCAGAGACGTAGGTGCCAACTTTCCCCAGTGCCGGTGGGTGCTCGCACCCCCCTGCCCCCAGCCCCGCCCCAACTCCACTCCTTCCCCGCCCCTTCCCTCCCACCATTCGAATCCCTTCCCTCAAGTCCCCGCCCCAACTCCGCCCCCTCCCTGCCCCTATTGGACCTCTTCCCCAAATCCCTGCCCCGGCCCTGCCTCCTCCCCTGAGCAAGCCGCATCCCCCCTCCCTCCCAGCAGCACGAAACAGCTGTTTTGCGGCACAAGCGCTGGGAGCTAGGGGGAAAAAGCGGGCACACGGCACACTCAGGGGAGGAGGTGGAGGCAGAGCAGAGGTGGAGGTGAGCTGGGCAGGGGGGTGGGGAGCTGCCGGTGGGTGCACAGCACCCACCAATTTTTCCCTGTGGGTGCTCCAGCCCCAGAGCACCCACAGAGTCGGCGCCTATGCTCAGAGATGGGCCCCACTGTGCTAGGTCCTGTACACAGAGACACACACTCAGACCTGGGCCCCACTGCGCTAGGTTCTGTATACACACACTCAGGGCTGGGCCCCACGGCGCTAGGTCCTATACACATATACTCAGGGCTGGGCCCCACAGTGCTAGGTCATGTACACATGCACACTCCAGACTGGAAGGTGACACAATCCCTACTCCAAAGAGTTTACAGTCTAGGGTCCTGACCCTGAAAATATTTATGCCCATGTCTAACTTTACTCAGAAACCTGCCCCTCTTCCCCACCCACCCCTCCAGGTACTGCCCCATATCCCTCCTCCCCTTTATCTCTGAACTCAGTGAACCCAGTCTGCAAACAATGTTTATGCCTCCAACTGTCTTAGATCCCTTCCAGTCTGACGTCCCTCCTTCCCACTCTAGTCAGACGGCTCTCACTGGGGTCCCTAATGATCTTCCTGGCCAAATCTCAGCGCCCACAATCTCAGGGCGATTTTTGATTCCTCCCTCTGCATACCCAGGCCATTTCCAAACACCGCTGCTCCTTCCTGAGTGTTATCTCCAGTATCTGCCCTTTTCTATCCATCCCTGCAGCACAGTCCCTCACTCAGTCCCTCACTATATCCCACCACTATTAATGCAACATCCTCTTCTATGGCTCCCAGACACACCCACTGTCCCCCTTCAGTCCACACAAACTGCATTTAACAAAGAGACAGTCCCTGCCCCAGGGAGCTCACCCTCTGCATGGCAGACAGGGTACAACAGGGGGATGAAATACATAAGTGGGGTAAAGGGGATTGGAGGGGAGGTAACAATCAAAACAAACCAAAGCCCAGCTCACCACGTGCCCAGCCAGTGCCAGACAGGAGAGATTCCAGGGGCCACAGCACAGCTGGGTTTGGAGGAGAGATTTAAGAGAGGAGAAGGGGGCAGCTTTACAAATACTGATGGGGCATTTTTCCGTGCATGGAGTGGTAGCGGGAGAAAACACAGAGGTGTTTAAGGGAGAAGCAGACAGGCAGGTGACGCAAGCTGATGGTAATCAGACATCCCAATATTATAAGGACCATCCTAATATAAGGGGATTTGTCTTATATGTGCAACTAAACCCCCCTTCCCCAAAAAAAATTGTCCCAATTTTTCACACTTACTATCTGGTCACCCTACCCAGGCTGCCAGGAGAAAAAATAAATAAAAAGGCCAGCAGCAGTACGGTTCCCCCTGGAAGCTGGTGCCAAGGGTGACGGACCCGTTCACCCACCCCTAGAACTGGCCCTGCAGGTTGCCATCGCTGGTGGAGGGGAAGGCAGCACCGATCGCTCAGTGACGTTGGTGGATCTGACAGACAGGGTGGGACTAACTGCTGAGGGACCTAAAGGCAAAAGACAAAGAGCTTGTGAGGGAGTGGAGCTGAAGGGGGTCTCAGTGGAGGGACACCAAGTGGTGGATGTGGTAACAGAGACAAGCCCCTGAAGGCTGATCCTAGCAGCAGTGTTTTGGATGGAGGTGAGGGGACAAAGCGGCTGGTGTCAAGGCTGGACAGGAAGAGATCACCGCAGTGGGTATGAGATGATGGGCCTGAATGAGAGCCTGGGCTGTCAGGACAGACAGAAGAGGATGAATCTGTGACGTGTTATGTAAGCAGAAGCAGGGAGACTGGGTTGAGGTCAGGACATGGGGGCCCAGAGGGAGGCTGAGTCAGAGACGATGCCCAGATTTCTGGCCTGAGTGACTGGAGAATGGACGTGTTGTTAGGGTGGCCAACGTTGTATTTCAAAACTACAGGATAGTTTTTTCTGCTCTCCCCAACTCCCGATCTGGGCCTACAGTTCTCCCCGTGGTTCTCCCAGCCAGAGCAGGGGAAATACTCCCTGGACCCTTCCTGAATGAAGCCACCTCGAGCAGGGCCAGACCCCAGGCCTCCCACTCCGCTCTGGGCTCCCTTCAGCCAGTCCAGGCCTCACAACCCATCACCAGGCCACAATCCCTAGCCCACAGGAGGGGCAGAGATCCTGGTACCTTGCTCTGGTGGGCCCAGTGTGCGGGATGGGAGGTACAGAGGGAGGGAGAACAGCCACAGCCCCCTGCGTCTGGGACGGCTCGCGGTGTTATTCAAAGGGGTGAAGAGACTAGGAAGGTAGGGAGGGCTGTGAGGGGTGCAGAAGAGATTAAACACTCAGCTGTTGAGTTGAGCTGCCCTCTGGACATCGACGAGGAGGAGATGTCAGACAGGCCGAGATGAGGGATGGGATGGAGGGGGAACAGACTTTAGCAAAGAAGGAGCTCGAGAGACATTGTCGTAGAGGTGGTATCTGAATCCCTGCATGCAGATAAGAGCTACTAGAGGCAGGGTGTGGAGAGAAGAGAGCAAGGGGCCAAGCACTGAGCTTTGGGGGACGTTCTCTGAAAGAGGGAGACAGGAAGAGACCAACCCAACAGAACAGACACCAAAGAAGTAATTAGAAAGGCAGGAGGAGAAGTGGGAGAGGAGGAAGCTGTGAAAGCCAAGGATTTAATGGAGACAGGAGGTGATGTCAGAAGGAGGAGCATGAGGCTAGCACAAGGAGGATGAGGATCACACAGAAGCCATAGGATCTGGCCAGGAAGAGGTTGTTAGAGACTTTGGTGAGAACGGTTTCAGTGTTGTGCAAGGGGGCGGGAGCCAGATGGGAGAGGGTCTAGGATGGAATTGGAGGAGAGGAACTCCAGACAGTGACTGTAGACAGAGCGTTCACTGAGCTTAGAGATGGAAGCAGAAGGGGCAGTAGGTAGAGAGGCAATTGGGGTTGGGGATAGAAAGTTTTAAGATGGGAGAGACTAAGTGTCACAGGGTGGCCGGTCCTTTAAGGGGAGTTAAGCCCAGGACCAGTCTATGAATATTCAACTGATGCTGAGGCCAGGGATCAAGTGATGGTTTGAAGATCTCCTGGTCCTCATAAAAGCCTGATGAATCAGCAAGTCCGTCAGAGTGGCTGGGAGCAGGAAGACACACACAGGACACCCTGGGGCAGGGGAAAGAGCCCAGTTTATGTCTGATAGTCAGGCAGATGGCCTGTGGGGTGCAATCCTGCAGGGAGAGGCTAGGCCTGTGCCAAAGAACCCAGCTCAGAGGAAAGGATGTGGCTGATACGCTGTATTTGGGTTAAACAGTTTTATTTTTAGAAGTAAAACCAAAGCAGTGAGGGAAAGGCACTGAGACCCTGTGTCTGGAGAGTGCTCGAAGGGCACAGGCTGGAGGGACAGCCCCTGGCTGGCACTAAGCCATGTTGGTATGGAAAGGGTAGGGTCGGAAGAGAGGGGGAGGTTAGTTAAAGAGAAGGGTGCATGAGGGATGCGAGCGAGAAAGGGAGATCAGGGGATGCGTGTGGGAGCAGGTGGAGGGGTTGGAGGAGGAGAGAAGAGGCGAAACTTTTGGAAGGGATGGAGGGGCGAGGTCATGTTTGACCTTGTGCATTTTCTCTATAAAGAAATCAGTGAGATCCTGTGCAGAGGGACATGGGGTGGTGGGGCGGGGCGGCGGTGGGGTGGGGTGTTAGGAGAGAGTCCCAGATGGCAAAATGGTTGCTGGCATCAGTTAGGGAGAGGAAGTTCATCTGGTTAGCTGGGAAGTGTCAGAATGGAACAAGGAGAGTAAGATTTTTTAAAGAAACAAAGAACCCAATAATTTTGGGTCGGAGACAAACCCTCCTGTTTCAGAGCTTAAGTCAACCTCTGACTGAGGGGGGCTAGGAAGACACTTTGGCTACAGGCAGCTTATTCCATCACAGGCCACTACGGGGTTTCTCACATCATCCTCTGAAGCAGCTGGTACAGGTCACTGTCACAGACAGGATCCAGGCTAGCAGGGCCCTGCTCTGATTTGCGCTGGTCACTCCTGTGTTCTTTAAAGCTCCTGTTTTAGGCCTCAGTTCAGCAAAGAAATTAAGTGGATACTTAAGTACTTAGCTGAATTAGGGGCATTAGTGACTACATCTCAGGGACTGTTCACTATAGATACCTAGATAACTATCCCCATGTAAAAGCTGTTAGCTTGAAGTTCAGGGTTTTCTGAAAGTCACCTATAAACTAATGTTATAGTAACAAAAGGTATGAAAACAAATAAAGTTTTAACAAAGTTCCAAACAGGAATTTGGATGGGCATCCAGATCTCTTAGGGAGCTTCGAAAACCTCAGCCTCATTGTGTGAAAGGCTCGAAATTCGTAACTCCATTCCCTGCACCAGCCTTCTCGCAGCCACTGTGAGTAGAACTGACCAGTGGGTGAGAAATACCTTATCAGACAAGATAGTGCCCTGCTAACAAGTATAGGCTATAGATTGTGTTTTGTGTTTCTTTCACCTGTAACTTTATCTTTCCAAGCCCTTACGCTTACTTTCATTTGAAACTCTGTCTCAGGCTCCGTTAATTAAACTTCAATTTGGTTTTGCTCTAGACACGTCTAAGTGCCTTGTGCAAAGGAGTGTGTAGAACCAAGGTGAAGCCAGCAAGTTGGGGTGCACTGCTTCCACGGAGGCAGCAGATTGGCGCAGACTGCGTGTGTCCAGGAGACAGGGGACTGGGCACTCGAGTATAACAAAGTGGGGGTGTGAATTGTTAGCCTGCAGAGAGACAGTAGCTTTGGGAGAGTTCCCCCAGTGGGGACAGACAAGGTTCTCACATGCTGTAAGCAGGTTGTAGCGATTCACCCTAGAGACCTCGTGTAACCCTGAAGGCATCACAAATCTCCCTGTACAATGAATGAGGAGAAGTGCCTTAGAATGGGATTCACAAAACCCAGTGTGCTAGGAGTCATGTAAGCCAGCCAATGGGAGATGCCGACAAGAGGGGTATGTGCTAAGTCCCGCCCCTCTCAGGAGTTTGGATCCTCTCTCTGCTAGCAATCCACAGCCAGGAGCCTCTCTTCTGGAGCTAGGCAGCTTAGGCACCTCAGTGTGTCTTGTGAGACAGAGTAAGGCACCTGCCATGCTGCACACAAGATGGCCGAGGGGCAGAGGGGTTACAAAGTGATTCTCAATTAATATTTAATTAAAGTGTAACAACTTGAACAAAAGAGACTGAAGGACACTCACATCAGAATGTCCCATAGCCCAGTGCTTACAGCATTCTCCTGAGAGGTGGGAAATCCCTGTTCAAATCCTTTCTCTTCATCTCGCAGAGAGGGGAAACCTAAACCAGAGTCTCCCACATCCCAGCTGGGAACCATAACTCCTGGGCTAAAGGTTATAAGGGAGGGTTGCCTCCTCCCTGTCTCCCACCTCTGTTCTGTGTAGTGTTGGGTGGCATCTGAGCACATCTGTTGGATCAGACCCCATGGGTGAGATAGAGGCTCCTCCACCCATCTTCCCCTAGTTTGTGTGTCGCTCTGGGCCACAGGAGGGAGATAGGTCCCCAGACATCTAGCATGAGGCAGCTGTGTGCTCCATGTGCCCAAGGCAGAAACTTAGACACTGAGAGAACTTTTATAGCAGAGATTTATGTAGCAAGTCAGTTTAGCCACCTACAGGGTTAGGTGTCAGCCAAGTGGGGGGTTGTGGATGACGGTGGCTAAAACTGGGATTGAGACACCCATGTCTGGAGTTTAGGTGCCTAAATCTCCTTGTAGATCTGGGTCATAATGCACAATGCAATTCCTCTTATTATAGAGTTAAGATTGAGAGGACATATACTTGTAACTTAAGGGTAAAACACATTACAGGGATCTTGTAATTATCCCTAAAGTGTTATACACCCAGGAAACAGAACTAAGGTTAAATTTAAAAGAAATCCAAATATGCTGTGCTCTAGAAGTGCAGCTAAGGCACCTAAATAACCTTAACTCTGCCCTGTAGTAACATCATGAGGGGAAAGTTGAAAAACATTGTGTGCCTTTAAAAATCAGTTTTATTTAATGTAGAACCTCACAGACTGCTCTGCATTGATCAGACCTCCTATGGTTATCGTACAGAGTCACTGCAGGGTGGAGCTGAGGGTGAAATCCTGCCCCCTCCCACATCACAAGGGTATGGAAGGGCAAGAACAAAGAGGAATCCCATCTGAGGATCCTGTTAAATACTGGAAAAGTCTCTCCGGGTTTCTCTACACTGCAAAAAACCCCTCAGAGCCTGGGTCAATGGTCTCAGGCTTCTGGGGATCACACTATGGGGCTGAAAAATACCCGTATAGACATTCCCACTCAGGCTGGACCTGGGCTCTGAAACCCGGCAAGGGAGGAGGGTCTCAGAGCTTGGGCTCCAGCCTGAGCAGGGATGTCTACGTTGCTAATATTTAGCCCTGCAGCATGATCCCCAGTCAGTTGACCCAGGCTCCGAGACTCGCAGCCACGGGTGGGTTTTTGCAGTCTCCATCAATGAGGCTGACCAAGCTGGGCTGGTGTATTCATGACCCTGGGCTCAAGGTGCCATTTCTGTAATTCCCATGGGGTTTATTAGGACAAGTGATCCCTTCCCCTTCAGAGCCCATCTGTGTCAGCACGAGCAGCCCCTGAGCTCACTGCTTGGGGCTCTGGTGCCGATATGGAGATGTTCCCCATCACTCATTAAAACAGGCTGTAACTCCATCTGCTAAAACTGAGCTAAAAGTGTTAAACTCTGACTCCACTGCATTAAAAGTGGCTTTCAATTGAGTTAAGTTGCCTTAAACGAGCTAATTCAACTGACATGACGTGAAATCTTCAACCCATCCCATTGGTCCCAGACACTGACCTTTCTGTGTCTTCATCTCAGATCGCAGAGCCTCTAGAGGGAGAAAAGGGAGAGACGTGAGATTTCACCCTGTAGCGTTTGTGGGGATAATGCTACTATTAGTTAATGTAACTGGTCCAGACAGCAGGGTCTCTAGAGAGAGAACAGGGTGAAAGATCATCCATTCATAGATTCCAAGGCCAGAAGGGACCATTGTGATTACTTAGTCTGACCCCTGCATAACACAACCCCATGGGCTTCCCAACAATAACTCCTACAGAGGATCTTTTAGAAAAACATCCAATCTTGATGCAAAAACTGCCAGTGCTGGCGAATCCACCACAACCCTTGGCAAATTGTTGCAACAGTTAATTAATAATGGCGAGATTTCACCCTGTCATGTTTAGGGGGATAACTCTTCCGTCGGTCAATGTAATGGGCCCAGACATTGACCTTTCTTGCTCTCCATATCAGGTCGAAGGGTATCTAGGGAGAGAAAAGGGCAACAGGCGAGATTTCACCCTGCCATGTTTATGGCGCAGTTTCCCGCTATTCATGTAATTTTTCTGTAATTACGAAAGTGAGGCAGACAGACTGACAAACAGGACACACAGACAGATCTGTCTCAACATCCCTGCACTTAGCGTCCCTGCTGCCTGGGCCCCACTGACTATCACCTCTAGAGGCTGCTCTAAATGTCTCCCGCAGGAGCCATCCCTGCTGCCTGGGCCCTGTCACACTCCTGTCTGATCTGGCTGCTCCCCTCTGTGCCCATCCCCTGAACAGCCCCAGCTCTCCCCAGCTCCTGACTGTGGGGATGGGGGAGGGAAGTGAGTGACGGGAATGGAGCATTGACCTGGATAAGGGACGGAGTTTGGTTGGTTCAATCCTAGGCCAATTCCTGACCTTGTAGGTGGTACTTGCCCCTGCTCCTAATGATAAGTGGTAACAGCTCTTCCTAGGGTCTTGGTAGATGCGGGGTGGGGGGAGAGGAATGGGGTGGAGGTGACTTTCTTTAGCTGGATGCTCAGGTCAGCAAGATCTCAGGCTGAAAAAATATTAGTGTAGATAACGTAATTGTTAACCTGTCCATTTTCACAGCCACTGCTTTGCCCTTCTGCAGCTCCTACTCAGCTAAACTGGAGGGGGGGGGAAGAACCGACGGGGGGCAGAATTGGCCCTAAGAAGTCCCCCTCTCTCCTCCTTTGTTTCTGTTTTTCCTGCAAGCAGCCAAGTTACATATGTCAGCACTCCAAGCCCAGCTCACTGAGCCCCACATGGTGTTTCAATCTGAGCCACGCTGATCCCCGTGGAACAGTTCAGAATCACATTCGATTGGGATCCTTGAGTGAGATCTGAAGGGTTGAAATCACTTGACATTTCTTGGTTCAGACAAAGTCATAATTTATTCAGCTCCCTCTTCACCCTCATCCCGGCTCCCACTGCCTGACACCTCCTCCAAACACTGAATCCCTGCATCTCTTAGGGTTGCCAACCCTCCAGGATTGGCCTGGAGTCTCCCGAAATCAGCATCAATTTCCCAGTGACTATTGAAAGCATTCCAGGAAATTTTAATAGGATATTTTAAGAAAATTACATTATGTCATGTTGGAAAACAAATCTCCCAGAATAGCTTCAGTCAGAGTTGGCAACCCTAGTATCTCTACTTTTGGTTTTGTTTTTCAATCGGTCAATCAATCAATTTCTCTCTCTCTCTCTCACCAAATTCCCCCCTCTTGTTACTTCACCTTTTGCTCTGTGTTGCCTCCAGAAGCAGTAACCGGCCAGGGGAAGGAGAACAGCCAGGATCACACCCAGAGCCACCATCCAAGGATTGACTTGTGGGAAAAACAGCTCTGCAAGAGAAAGGGCCATTGACTTGGGAGCAAACACATGCAGAATGAAGGCAGGACACTGTGACAGTGGTGACACTGTGACTAGTTAAAAGAGTCTCACAGGGAAATACACAGTGAGATGTGGCTCCTCTGTGCTTTATTATTAAGCCAGTGAAATTCCAAGCTTTGAGCCTGGTTACTGAACATGGTTAATTAATGGGAGGAGGCATGTCGGCAGTAGTGAGGGAATAGAATGGAGCTCCGCTATGCTACTGCTATCCTCATGTAGCCAATGCTGAAATGTATCAGATATATTTAGGATATAGAGGTGAAATATAAATATTAGGTCTGTCAATTAATTGCAGTTAACTCGCGCGATTAACTCAAAAAAATTAATCGCAATTTTAATCGCACTGCTAAACAATAGAATACAAATTGAAATGTATTAAATATTTTTGGATGTTTTTCTACATTTTCAATTACAACACAGAGTACAAAGTGTACAGCACATGTTGTTCATTTTAAGAACACTTTCACTGCAGATTTGACAAAACACAAAGAAGATACCAATGTGAGATTTCTAAAGATAGCTACAGCACTTGACCCAAGGTTTAAGAATCTGAAGTATCTTCCAAAATCTGAGAGGGATTAGGTGTGGAGATGTTTAAAAGAGCAACATTTTGATGCGAAAACTACCAAACCTGAACCACCAAAAATGAAAATCAACCTTTGCTGGTGGCATCCGACTCTGATGATGAAAATGAACATGCATTGGTCCACGCTGCTTTGGATCCTTATCAAGCAGAACCTGTGATCAGCATGGACATGGTGGTTGAAGCAAGAAGGGACATATGAATCTTTAGCGCATGTGGCATGTAAATATTTTGCGATGCTGGCTACAACAATGCCATGTGAATGAACATAAGAACGGCCATACTGGGTCTGACCAAAGGTCCATCCAGCCCAGTATCCTGTCTACTGACAGTGGCCAATGCCAGGTGCCCCAGAGGGAGTGAACCTAACAAGTAATGATCAAGTGATCGCTCTCCTGCCATCCATCTCCACCCTCTGACAAACAGAGGCTAGGGACACCATTCCTTACCCATCCTGGCTAATAGCCATTAATGGACTTAACCTTTATGAATTTATCCAGTTCTCTTTTAAACCCTGTTATAGTCCTAGCTTTTACAACCTCCTCAGACAAGGAGTTCCACAGGTTGACTGTGCGCTGTGTGAAGAAGAACTTTCTTTTATTTGTTGTAAACCTGCTGCCCATTAATTTCATTTGGTGGCCCCTAGTTCTTATATTATGGGAACAAGTAAGTAACTTTTCCTTATTCACTTTCTCCACACCACTCATGATTTTATGTACCTCTATCATATCCCCCCTGAGCCCTGGTCTACACTAGGACTTTAGGTCGAATTTAGCAGCGTTAAATCGATTTAAACCTGCACCCGTCCACACAATGAAGCCCTTTATTTCGACTTAAAGGGCTCTTAAAATCGATTTCCTTACTCCACCCCTGACAAGTGGATTAGCGCTTAAATCGACGTTGCCGGCTCGAATTTGGGGTACTGTGGACACAATTCGATGGTATTGGCCTCCGGGAGCTATCCCAGAGTGCTCCATTCTGACCGCCTGGACAGGCTCTCAACTCAGATGCACTGGCCAGGTAGACAGGAAAAGAACCGCGAACTTTTGAATCTCATTTCCTGTTTGGCCAGCGTGGCAAGCTGCAGGTGACCATGCAGAGCTCATCAGCACAGGTGACCATGATGGAGTCCCAGAATCGCAAAAGAGCTCCAGCATGGACCGAACGGGAGGTACGGGATCTGATCGCTGTTTGGGGAGAGGAATCCGTGCTATCAGAACTCCGTTCCAGTTTTCGAAATGCCAAAACCTTTCTGAAAATCTCCCAGGGCATGAAGGACAGAGGCCATAACAGGGACCCGAAGCAGTGCCGCGTGAAACTGAAGGAGCTGAGGCAAGCCTACCAGAAAACCAGAGAGGCGAACAGCCGCTCTGGGTCAGAGCCCCAAACATGCCGCTTCTATGATGAGCTGCATGCCATTTTAGGGGGTTCAGCCACCACTACCCCAGCCGTGTTGTTTGACTCCTTCAATGGAGATGGAGGCAATACGGAAGTAGGTTTTGGGGACGAAGAAGATGATGATGAGGAGGTTGTAGATAGCTCACAGCAAGCAAGCGGAGAAACCGGTTTTCCCGACAGCCAGGAACTGTTTCTCACCCTAGACCTGGAGCCAGTACCCCCGAACCCACCCAAGGCTGCCTCCTGGACTCAGCAGGCGGAGAAGGGACCTCTGGTGAGTGTACCTTTTAAAATGCTATACATGGTTTAAAAGCAAGCATGTGAAAGGATTACTTTGCCCTGGCATTTGCGGTTCTGCCTTTGCAAAGGTTTCTGGGGAGGGCAGCCTTATTTCGTCCTTCATGGTAGGACACTTTACCACTCCAGGCCAGCAACACGTACTGGGGAATCACTGTAGAACAAAGCATTGCAGTGTATGTTTGCTGGCATTCAACCAAAATCCGTTCACGCGGTGGGAGGAGGCAAATGCGACCTTGTAACGAAAGCACATGTGCTATGTATGTAATGTTAACAGCAAGGTTTACCCTGAAAGAGTGTAGCGACTGTTTTATAAAATGTGTCTTTTTAAATACCGCTGTCCCTTTTTTTCTCCACCAGCTGCATGTGTTTCAATGATCACAGGATCTTCTCCTTCCCAGAGGCTAGTGAAGCTTAGAAAGAAAAAAAACGCACTCGCGATGAAATGTTCTCCGAGCTCATGCTGTCCTCCCACACTGACAGAGCACAGACGAATGCGTGGAGGCAAATAATGTCAGAGTGCAGGAAAGCACAAAATGACCGGGAGGAGAGGTGGAGGGCTGAAGAGAGAAGTGGCGGGCTGAAGACAGGGCTGAAGCTCAAAGGTGGCGGCAGCGTGATGAGAGGAGGCAGGATTCAATGCTGAGGCTGCTGCAGGACCAAACCAGTATGCTCCAGTGTATGGTTGAGCTGCAGCAAAGGCAGCTGGAGCACAGACTGCCACTGCAGCCCCTCTGTAACCAACCGCCCTCCTCCCCAAGTTCCATAGCCTCCACACCCAGACGCCCAAGAACGCGGTGGGGGGCCTCCGCCAACCAGCCACTCCACCACAGAGGATTGCCCAAAAAAGAAGGCTGTCATTCAATAAATTTTAAAGCTGTAAACTTTTAAAGTGCTGTGCTTAAAGTGCTGTGTGGCATTTTCCTTCCCTCCTCCACCACCCCTCCTGGGATACCTTGGTAGTCATCCCCCTATTTGTGTGATGAATGAATAACGAATGCATGAATGTGAAGCAACAATGACTTTATTGGCTCTGCAAGCAATGATTAAAGGGAGGAGGGGAGGGTGGTTAGCTTACAGGAAGTAGAGTGAACCAAGGGGCGGGGGGGTTCATCAAGGAGAAACAAACAGAACTTTCACACCGTAGCCTGGCCAGTCATGAAACTGTTTTCAAAGCTTCTCTGATGCGTACCGCGCCTCTGTGCTCTTCTAACGCCCTGGTGTCTGGCTGCGCGAACCAGCAGCCAGGCGATTTGCCTCAACCTCCCACCCCGCCATAAACGTCTCCCCCTTACTCTCACAGATATTGTGGAGCACACAGCAAGCAGTAATAACAGTGGGAATATTGGTTTCGCTGAGGTCTAAGCGAGTCAGTAAACTGCGCCAGGCGCCTTTAAACGTCCAAATGCACATTCTACCACCATTCTGCACTTGCTCAGCCTGTAGTTGAACAGCTCCTGACTACTGTCCAGGCTGCCTGTGTACGGCTTCATGAGCCATGGCATTAAGGGGTAGGCTGGGTCCCCAAGGATACATATAGGCATTTCAACATCCCCAACAGTTATTTTCTGGTCTGGGAATAAAGTCCCTTCCTGCAGCTTTTGAAACAGACCAGAGTTCCTGAAGATGCGAGCATCATGCACCTTTCCGGCCATCCCACGTTGATGTTGGTGAAACGTCCCTTGTGATCCACCAGAGCTTGCAGCACTATCGAAAAGTACCCCTTGCGGTTTATGTACTGCGGCTTGGTGCTCCGGTGCCAAGATAGGGATATGGGTTCCGTCTATGGCCCCACCACAGTTAGGGAATCCCATTGCAGCAAAGCCATCCACTATGACCTGCACATTTCCCAGGGTCACTACCCTTGATATCAGCAGATCTTTGATTGCGTGGGCTACTTGCATCACAGCAGCCCCCACAGTAGATTTGCCCACTCCAAATTGATTGGTAGCTGTCTGGCGTTGCAAGCTTCCACAGGGCTATCGCCACTCGCTTCTCAACTGTGAGGGCTGCTCTCATCTTGGTATTCATGCACTTCAGGGCAGGGGAAAGCAAGTCACAAAGTTCCATGAAAGTGCCCTTACGCATGCGAAAGTTTCGTAGCCACTGGGAATCGTCCCAGACCTGCAACACTATGCGGTCCCACCAGTCTGTGCTTGTTTCCCGAGCCCAGAATCGGCGTTCCACAGCATGAACCTGCCCCATTAGCACCATGATGCATGCATTGTCAGGGCCCATGCTTTCAGAGAAATCTGTGTCCATGTCCTGATCACTCACGGGACGCGCTGACATCGCCCTCGCCCGGTATCGCGTTGCCATGTTCTGGTGCTGCATATACGCTGGATAATGCGTGTGGTGGTTAATGTGCTCCTAATTGCCAAAGTGAGCTGAGCAGGCTCCATGCTTGCCGTGGTATGGCGTCCGCACAGAAAAAGGCGCGGAACGATTGTCTGCCGTTGCTCTGACGGAGGGAGGGGCGACTGACGACACGGCTTACAGGGTTGGCTTCAGGGAGCTAAAATCAACAAAGGGGGTGCCTGTACATCAAGGAGTATTTCAGGCAGGACTGCACGGAGGGTTCCAATAAGAAATGGTGCACCTAAGTTATCGTTCTTATTGGAACAAGGAGGTTAGCCTGGCCTCTGATTGATACATGGCTAGATTTACCTCGCT